ATCCCCAGATAATTAGTGAGCAATACATACAGTTAAGTGGTAACAACTTAGCACTCAGTCATACACTATTCTGTGACCAGAGGATTGCACGGGTGGGATGCCTCTGTTGCTAGTGGGAAGTGGGGTATGTCCCCGCTGGGAGCTGGGAGCTGGGGGTTGGGTTCTTGCAATGTCTTGAGAAAGAGAATTTTCTAAGACTCACATGGGAGAATGCGATGTGGTAGGAAGGTTTATTTGTGTGAAATTATACCCCTCGGTTTCCAAAGTCCCATGGCCCTTAAACCAGTCCTGGAGAATATGCAGCTGGCGCTTCAGCAAAGCCAGAAGCAAAGCCAGTGTCCAGAGTTTCCGGTCCATGGTGGAGCTGGGTCCCATGTAGCATCAGGCTAACGTCCATTAGTCCATTGTGTGTGGCGTCCACATGGCTGTGCACCATGTGGGCGAATGCAGGGGAGCGTGCCCCCTGCAACAAGAGGGCCAGGTGCCCCAAAAGCACCAAGAGAGAAAACTCCCTTTGTTCAGGAGTTTAAATATCAAATCTTCCTGGGCTTGCAGTGGCCACGCCTACAGGCCTACTCCTGCCAATGACCTGTTCCCAGGTATGATTGACAGGCAAGCACCTTCCCACATCACCCAGAAGTTACTGGGCATGTGTCTAAATTGCAGCTTCCCCTTGTTCCTTTCTAGTTATTAATTGATAACCACGTTATTACAATGGTATCAATTCCACATTGTATATAATTATTACTAACTAGAGGCCCAGTACACGAATTCGTGCACTGGTAGGGTCCCTTGGGGTGGCCTGCAGAGATCGGGCCCCAGCTTGTGCCCCACCTCACAGCCCTGCCTGGCACCCTGCCTTGGCCTAGTGCCGCCCCCTCACCTGCTCCACCATCCTGCCTGCGGGCTATCAGTCAGGGCTGGGCCCCCTGCCTGGCTCCCTCAGCACCTGGGAGCCAGATGGTGGCCTTGTCCCCCGCTGCTGCTGCTGGTCGCTGTCTGAGGGGCCATTGGCAGGACAATTGGGTCCCTGCTTGCACCCACCTTGGCCTGGTGCCACCTGCTCACCTGCTCCACTATCCCACCATGGTTCCGCTGTTGTCTGGGCCCATTGGGGCCGGCAGCGCCTTCACTGCTGCCCACTGCCAGCGCCATGTCACCAACGCCCGCCATGTTCTGCACCACCCCTTGGTGGTCAGTGCATGTCATAGCGAGTGGTCGAATTCCGGTTGAAAGACCACCCAAGGGGACAATTTGCATATTAGGCTTTTATTTTATAGGATTGCAGGGGTTCAGAATGAGCTGAAGAGAATGGAGTTGAGAATGTCAGGGGAAGGCTTCATGGAGACTTCCAGAATTTAGCTGGGCCTTGGAAAGGTTTTGGGTGGAGACTGGAGACGGTTGGAGTGGATTTCTGGAAAAAGGAGCAGAATGATTAAGGCATTAGGGAAGAACTGAGTGTGGGTGGGGGTGAGGAGGGGCTAGGCTAGTGCTTTTTAAATAATGGACTCTGTAAATGTGAATGTAACCAATGTTCATTGAGAGCTCTCTAGGTGCCAGGTACTGTGCTAAGTTAGCCCTGTCCACTGTGACTGCGTGCAGTCCACATTCTCCCTAGAAGGGGAAGGAAAACCCACCCAGACAGGTACTGTCATCACCTCCGTGTCACAGATGAGGAAACTAATGGCACTGTTGCAGCTTGGAGCCAGGCTGGACTCCAAAGCCGGCAGTTCTTCCCAGCTCAAGTCCAAAGACATCCTATTAGAGGTGGGCGTATTGTGAATAGTGGGGAATAAGAAGGACTAATCTAGGGCCTTGTTACTCAAACTGGGAGCCTGTTAGAAAAGTCTCTCCCTCCTCCCCCACCCCCCCACCCCCCCACACACAGACACACTGAATCAGAGCCAGCATTTCAGCACCATCCCCAGGTGATTGGTGCGCACATTAGCATTTGAGAGGCACAGGTTGGTAAAAGTTTGGCTGGATTTATGCCTGTGCTCTTCAAGTCTCTGATGACGTCTTCCTTCTGGAGGGTATGAGGTGAAGGCCCAGGGCAGCCCACCACAAGCTGAGATCTCTTTGAAGTCTCATATTTCATCTAAAAATGTCATAGACTGTTTCATCCCATACTGTAATATATCAGCGGTCATTTAAATATTTCAAAATGGTTATGTAAATTGCCTTGGAGGAGGATCCCAGTTCCTGGAAGATGCCTGAAGGGGTTTCCTTGTATCTTAAGTGGGGTAATAGTAACTACTTCAAGGGCTGCTGTGAAGATCAAAGGAGAACCATGTATATGGAAATGCTGCATAAACTGTCCCCATCACACACATGTTGTTATTCTGGAGGGAACTGAGCCTCCTCCCAACCCAGTGTCCTTAAGCCTCAGCCCTGGACTAGGAGTGACTCTCTGGGTTCCACAGCCCATTTCTTTGGGATCAGAAAGAGAAGTAAAGACAGGAAGAGAGGCCCAGAAAGGTGAGATGGACAATGACCATCCACATCTGAGGCCAATGGAGGAAGGGTAGCCAGCGAGGCCCAGGCAGAAGGCTGGGAGGGAAGGAGGCGCATTCGGAACTGCAGAAGCTAGAGGAGAGCTCGGCCAGGAGTGGTCAGCAGTTCCCCAGGGCACAGAGCAGCTGAATGGGATGAGGAAGGAGAGAGCTGTTACATTTGGTTGAGGTTTCAGTCATCCTTGGGTAGGGTTCTGGTAGAATAATGGGGTTAAAGCCACATTTTGACAAGTTAAGAAGAGAACAACGGAGATTTTTTTTTTCTTCCCATGTTAATCATTTGGATTTTCGCACAATTGCATTTTTATTACAGATATCTTACTTGCCATTTAAAACTTAATCCCTATAATTTGTGACTAGAACCAAGTTGATCCTGTCTTTTTAATCCATTCCTTGGCAAAAAGTTATTTAAGGAACACAGAAAATTGCAAAGAATTGTTTATGGTATGATCCTATTTTTGTTTAAAAGGATGTGTGTTTGTGTGTGTATTTATAAATATGTATATATGTATATCATAAACAAAGAAAAACATCTAGAAGAATATATATCAAACTAGAGGCCCGGTGCATGAAATTCATGCATGGGTGCAGTTCCTAGGCTTAGCCAGTGATCGAAGCGCGAGCATCTGGTGTGGAAGGACAGGTCCCAGCTGATCTCTGGACCCTGGGCAGCACCTGGGCCCCCGGGCCCCCATGGACCCCCCTCCACCTGAGTCATGGTGCCCGAGTCCCCACGCGGAGATGCAGAGAGTGCACCTGAACGCAGCAGGCCGGGGCGCAGCGGGACCTCTGGGCCGCCCAGCAGCGCTGCACAGAAGCTAGGTGGCAGCCTGCTTCTCCCGGTCGGCCTTGCAGACCGGCTTCTGCGCGAACCCATGGGGAGCCCAACCAGCCCCTGCGGTTCCAGCGGCTGTGGCCCAGCTCACCCAGAAGAGGCTGCGTGGATGCAGGGCCAGCTCCTCGCAGGCGCCCGGCACCTGAGCGTGGGGGCTTCCTCTGTGCAAGCCCTGGCATCCCAGGGGAGGGTAGCAGAGGGAGTGAGAGCGAGCTCTGCAGACACCCCGCATTCTCAGTGCACCTCTGTTCCTGTCACCCCTGCCCCCAGGTAGCTGGCAAGAGATTGCAGCCCCCCACCCGGGGGGGCCCGGGAGGTTGTTCACCGCCACCCACCCCCAGATCCCCATCCCAGCCTGGGAACTCGCACCCACCTTGGCCTGGCACTGCCCGCTCACCTGCTCCACCATCCCACCACAGTCCCGCTCTTATCGGGGCCCATTGGGGCTGGCAGTGCCTCCATTGCCACCCATTGCCAGCGCCATATCGCTGACGCACACCATGTTCTGCACCACCCTCTGGTGGTCAGTGCATGTCATAGCAACTGGTTGAACTCCCTGTCTCCCAGTCAAATGACTGCCTGAGGGGACAATTTGCATATTAGGCTTTTATTATATAGGATTATAATGGGAATTTTACTAGTATATTTATATGTCACTTTAAACGTGTAGTATTGTTAATTATACCTATAAAATTATATGGTCAGATTATGATTTTTGACATAATTCTTTGGGCTGCAAATGGCAGAAACTCAGCTGAAAATTGCAAAGCAATAACTAAATTCTTCAGGCATGGGTGGATCCAGGAGCTCAAATGATGTCATTAGAAATCTCCATCTCTCAGATCTGTCCTTATTGACTTCATTCTCAGGCAATTCAGACCTGCATCTCATCAGCTTAGCACTGCAGTGGGAAGAGAGCAGCTTTTCCCTGAGAGTGTCAGCAAAGCCCAGGGCTGTCTTTCAAGGGCCCAGCTTGGTCATGTCTCAACCTTAAACCAGTGAATCATTGTGGCTGCGGGAAGCACTATGTTGACTGACTAGGCCAAGGCCAAGGTCATGTGATCCTAGAGGAGAACAAAAGAACTTTCAAGGCCATCCAAGGCAGCCAGTGGACTGAAAGGAGGGGCTGAATGGTTCCCCAAAGGGAATCCAGAGCTCTGTTGTCAAAAGGACAGGTACAGATCCCCACATGTCTGCTCCTAAGGGACCTTCACTCTCTGGGTCACAGATATTTGTAATAACTGAGTTGTTGCATGCATTTCTCTTGTGGTGTCAAGAAAAAAACGAGACCCCCTCTTAAGTCAACTGATTTGGGTTGCATCTGGTTATAACTTTGAGAAAAGTAAACAAGTGGGAGCAAAGAGTGAAGCTCAAATCTTGTCCACGACCTTGATTTTGTAGGGCATGGGAGGAATGAACGGTGGTGCTGGGGAATCGGCTTCTCCTTTTCGTAGATCATTAGTTGTGTGTGTTCACAACCCATTGGGACATCGGACAACCTCTGGAGCTCTGGGGCTCCAGAGTGACGCGCCTGGGGAGCCACGCCTGCGTCAAGGTCACCCTCTGCCTCTCCACCTCCTGTGCACTTCGCCGGGCCTCAGCGAATGCTTCCCTGCTTTCCCATATCACACTGCTCTGTTTCTTCATTTCAGGGTTACACTAAGGACATGGTGACAGACTTTGATGAGAAACATGATGAGTATTTAATATTGCTTCAGCAGAGGAACCGGTAAGACAAAGCCGCTCGCCGGCAGCCCTTAATATTAGCCAAATAAGAACCCTATTTAGATTTATCAACAGCACGCAGGCGCTGGTTCACACGAGTGGGATGCAGTCACCCCACTCGGAGGCTGGGAGTATTCTCTGCAATGCCAGCTCCTATTTCTCCATTCACTGACTTAATTGCACTTTTGATTGAGCTGTAGCAAACTGTTCGGCGTGTAAGTGCTGCCTCTTGCCTCCCTGTTTATGTTCTGGGAGAAGGTGGGTTTGTAATGAAAAGCTGGGATTTGGCAGGGCCTGTGCATTAGTCACCGCAAGAGCCCAGGCTGTGATCTTTCAGGCTGTGCTGGGCCTGGGAAATCTGAGCCTGTAATCATGCCTCGTTATGTAAAGGTGGAGTCACTGTGCATTTGTGTTTGAAGTTGGTCCCCATGTCACTTAACGTTAAGTCAGTATGAATCTGGGCTCTGGGGTGCTGGTTCTTGAAAAAGCCGGCAGTCGGTGGGCGCAGTGTTTAGTGACCGAGGTCAAAGCACTGGGGTCTGGTTCAAAAGAGGCGTCGTGTCCTCAGTGCTGTGAAAGTGTGCCGCCTCTGGAAGTTCACCTTCAGTTCACCGCGGTCTGTCGTCAGGCCTGGGGCCTTGCAGGAAGCTGGGTTTGCAAACTCAGATGCTAGCAGGGGCCAGGCAGTGAGCAAAGCCAGCTCCGTGGGGAGAGTGCTCAGCTCAGGCCAGTTGTTTGGGAACACGGGGCAGGGTCCATGGCCTCCACGGTTGCCAGAGAAGCCGGAAATCTGCGCTTGTGGTGTGAAACCTCCTGTGTTTTAAATGTTAGTAATGGATTCAAGTGAAAGTGCAAAACAAATGGAAGAGTGGTGCAGGCCCCTAAAACAGACCTACAGGAGGGGAAGGACTGGGTGCTAATCTGGGCCTTTGTGTTATGGGAATAATAAGCTTGGGTCTTGCAGGCCAGATGTGTAGGGCTTGTCATCCTGAACGTGGATTCAGCCCTCCTCTGACTGGCTGGACTCCTGGTGCTTGTCACCTGGGGCCCTGGTGGCATGTCTCAGGGGACAGGTTTCTATGTGAAAGAGAGTCCCATGTGTTGTAGGAGTGTAGTGTTCCTGCCCACTGGCCTCTTTACTAAATTCTACTAAGACCCTCTGTATCTATGACAACAGCACCCGCCCACCTATCCAGGTGCTCCCTGGTGAGGCCCTACCTCCTCCAGTGGGAACCTCTGAATAGAAAACGATGGGAACAGCCAGAAATGCCTCCTGCTGGAAGGCACTGTCCTCTCCCAGCTGCTCTGTGCTCGGCCCCCCCTCTCCCCGCAGGTGACCTCCAGCTGGAGCAGTGGAAGGCTGTGCCCAGGAGCCCCGAGTGGGTTTTCTACCTTCATGAATGCCACGGAGCAGATTGTTTCACTCAGTTTCTGGCAGGCTGGGTGGTGCCCCTGACACCTGGGTGATCGTTTAATTAAATACATGTGCCTTCTCTTGGAGGAGCGTGTCATATGAGCAAATTGCTTCTTGTTAATCGGGGATCAATAAGTATATGCTCAAAGAGGTACCAGCCGATATAAGCGTGTAGGAGAATATCCAGTGGCCAGGTTGCAGCACAAAGGCAATTAAAAAATATTAAAACTGAGTTGCCATAAAATTTGGGAGCTATGTTGTCACCAAGAGGGAGCTGGCTTGATGACAGGAAATTAGAAGGCAGAACTAATAGAAACACCTAAAAAGAAAAACGGGGAATGCACCTGAGCCGTCATCAATGTTGCTTTAAAGGCACCTTTTCTGGAGTGCCAGTGCGTGCCAGGCGCCTCGCCCTGTCACCTCGCCCCCATCGTCATCATTTTGTCTGCACACTACCCACCAGATGAAGCAGATACAGTTGTTGCACCCATTTTACAGACAGGGAAGTGGAGACCAGAGCAGTGTGCAATACAACCAGGAAGTGGTGCAGCTGGGCTGTACTTTCTTAATAATGTTTTGTTTGACATTGTCATAAATAATCAAGAGGAGAGAAACCTGCCAGGGTAGCCAGGGCCTCTAAACTCATTACCAAGTTAGAAATCTGGTTATCTGACTGGCTAGGAAACCAGCCTCTGAGCTTTACACTGTGCCTAGAGGGAGATGAAAACCCAGGCTGCTGTGTGGGTTGCCCTGTGACCTGAGAGGCGGGTGCAGTAGTCATTGGTGTGAGTGCTCAGGAGAGACCTGCCCGGAACATTGTTCTTTACTCGCTCAGTTCACTGCGCCTTCTCAGTGCCTCGCCTTACCGCGAGCATGAAGAACCATGTGCTGAGGAAGACACACTGTTAGTGCTCCTTACTGGACGGTGCAGAAACCCAAGGTGAATGGACTTTAAGCAACAAAGACACTTACTGGCTCATGAAATAAAAAAACCCAGGATGATACTCTGGCTCCTGGCATGGTTGGATCCTGGTGCTCAGATTATGTCACTGAGCCCTGGTCAGTGTGACTCAGTTGCTTGAATGTCATCCCATGCACCGTAAAGTCACCAGTTTGATTCCTGGTCAGGGCACATGCCAAAGTTGTGGGTTCGATCCCCAGTCAAGGTGGGAAGCAACTGATCAATGTTTCTCTCTTATATCGATGTTTCTCTCTCCCCCTCTCCTTTCTTCTCTCTCCCTCTCCCTTTCTCTCTCTCTCAAATCAATTTAAAAAAATGATGTCACTGAAATCAGTCATTGTTCATCTCTTAGCTGTTTTCCCATGTTGGAGACATCTCAGACAGGTACGCCCCTCACGGATGCCAAGGCCACCACTGGAAACCCCACATTTATCTCCTACCTCGAGGAAGGGAGAGTACCTCCTTCCTAATAGTTCCACAAAAGTGCTGGTAAGGGCTCCCATTGGTCAGGCTGGGGCCCCAGGTTCATTCCTGAGCTAATCACCCTCTTTGTCTGGTGAGGTGGCATGGTCTGACTGGCCACTCCTTGGACACTCATTAAGCTGGGGTGGAGCGAGCTCACCCACACCATGTAGAGTAAGGAGTGGTTTAACTAGGACCTACTCCCAGGAAGTAGGGGGTCTATTGGGCTATGGTGGGAAGATGGGGGAGAGGTGCCGGGCAGGCAGGCAGGAAGAACAGGTGTCTACCACACAGCTCTTGCCTTGGAGGAACTCCCCAGGCCTCAGCTGGGAGCACCAGGCCACCTACAGTATGCCGGAAGGAGCACCCAGTGACCATGTGCTCCAGGAGAGCACCAGGCCACCTACAGTATGCCGGAAGGAGCACAGAGCGACCATGTGCTCCAGGAGAGGACCAGGCCACCTACAGTATGCCGGAAGGAGCACAGAGCGACCGTGTGCTCCAGGAGAGGACCAGGCCACCTACAGTATGCCGGAAGGAACACCTAGCGACAGTGTGCTCCAGGAGAGGACCAGGCCACCTACAGTATGCCGGAAGGAGCACCCAGTGACCATGTGCTCCAGGAGAGGACCAGGCCACCTACAGTATGCCGGAAGGAGCACCCAGCGACCATGTGCTCCAGGAGAGGACCAGGCCACCTACAGTATGCGGGAAGGAGCACCCAGTGACCATGTGCTCCAGGAGAGGACCAGGCCACCTACAGTATGCGGGAAGGAGCACCCAGTGACCATGTGCTCCAGGAGAGGACCAGGCCACCTACAGTATGCGGGAAGGAGCACCCAGTGACCATGTGCTCCAGGAGAGGACCAGGCCACCTACAGTATGCGGGAAGGAGCACCCAGTGACCATGTGCTCCAGGAGAGGACCAGGCCACCTACAGTATGCGGGAAGGAGCACCCAGTGACCATGTGCTCCAGGAGAGGACCAGGCCACCTACAGTATGCGGGAAGGAGCACCCAGTGACCATGTGCTCCAGGAGAGGACCAGGCCACCTACAGTATGCGGGAAGGAGCACCCAGTGACCATGTGCTCCAGGAGAGGACCAGGCCACCTACAGTATGCGGGAAGGAGCACCCAGTGACCATGTGCTCCAGGAGAGGACCAGGCCACCTACAGTATGCGGGAAGGAGCACCCAGTGACCATGTGCTCCAGGAGAGGACCAGGCCACCTACAGTATGCGGGAAGGAGCACCCAGTGACCATGTGCTCCAGGAGAGGACCAGGCCACCTACAGTATGCGGGAAGGAGCACCCAGTGACCATGTGCTCCAGGAGAGGACCAGGCCACCTACAGTATGCGGGAAGGAGCACCCAGTGACCATGTGCTCCAGGAGAGGACCAGGCCACCTACAGTATGCGGGAAGGAGCACCCAGTGACCATGTGCTCCAGGAGAGGACCAGGCCACCTACAGTATGCGGGAAGGAGCACCCAGTGACCATGTGCTCCAGGAGAGGACCAGGCCACCTACAGTATGCGGGAAGGAGCACCCAGTGACCATGTGCTCCAGGAGAGGACCAGGCCACCTACAGTATGCGGGAAGGAGCACCCAGTGACCATGTGCTCCAGGAGAGGACCAGGCCACCTACAGTATGCGGGAAGGAGCACCCAGTGACCATGTGCTCCAGGAGAGGACCAGGCCACCTACAGTATGCGGGAAGGAGCACCCAGTGACCATGTGCTCCAGGAGAGGACCAGGCCACCTACAGTATGCGGGAAGGAGCACCCAGTGACCATGTGCTCCAGGAGAGGACCAGGCCACCTACAGTATGCGGGAAGGAGCACCCAGTGACCATGTGCTCCAGGAGAGGACCAGGCCACCTACAGTATGCGGGAAGGAGCACCCAGTGACCATGTGCTCCAGGAGAGGACCAGGCCACCTACAGTATGCGGGAAGGAGCACCCAGTGACCATGTGCTCCAGGAGAGGACCAGGCCACCTACAGTATGCGGGAAGGAGCACCCAGTGACCATGTGCTCCAGGAGAGGACCAGGCCACCTACAGTATGCGGGAAGGAGCACCCAGTGACCATGTGCTCCAGGAGAGGACCAGGCCACCTACAGTATGCGGGAAGGAGCACCCAGTGACCATGTGCTCCAGGAGAGGACCA